CTTTATGGAAACAATTTCTGCAGGTGCAATTTAGTCAGTAACTTTAAAAAGAACGTGACCGACCCTTGAGGCATAATTGTCAAAGTATGACTTTGAAGTTGGTTGTTCTTGGTCTACATTTTACATGCAATATTTCCAAATAATTAAAGTAACTAAATTAACTAGCAACTCCATGTAGGGAAAATAAGATCATAATCTCCATTCAGTAATTTTAGGTTCTATGTGCATACAAAACTAATTTCTGCCTCATATCTGAGACCCCTATCACATCTCAAACTCAATTTTCTCTTAGGTAAGGATATACAATGCAACTTTAGCTAAGGGATCAAAATTAGAGGGAAAACATTTAAAATGCAAATTTGGGATCACAGTATTAATATGAAAATAATGTCTTCGCCACATCACAACTCTTCCTGGCGTTTCTACAGATGCATCAATTCTTCACAGATTAGATGTGCTTTCTTTATATCTACATCCCTGTGAGATTAAAAAGAGAGTCTTTCATTTTCATGCTGCCAATGTACTGAATTTGTTTTCAAATAGCAGCAAAGGTGGTTATAACAGTAAGCTTCTGATAAAGAAAACTTCAGCACAGTTTTCAGACATCAAAATTTGCAGCATATGAAAGCATTCCAAATCCAAGTAGGTGGTTAATCACTGTACAAAAAGGTGGATTTTTGACACCAAGCTTAAAAGATACAAATGGAGAACAGAAACTTGAATGCCACCCAGCTGAAGCTGGGGACTAATACAAATACAGCTCACGTCCGGCTGTTCAGCCCTGCTGGCAGGAGACAACATCCCCACGGTTTGCAGGCCAAGGCCCTCTCTGCAGGGCCATTTTGCTGGGGGCTGGGCTGGAGAATAAAACTGTTAGAAAAATATTCTGACTTTTTAAAGCCTTTGGAAAGAATATTATATTATCCTTTCCTCTACACACAGAGGTAGATGGATTGTTGAAATAAAGGATAAGGGACTGTGAGGACACACCAAACAGGTGGGTATCAGGTATGGTGATTTTACAAGTTTTATTCTCTCAGATCCCAGAAGTGTTATTTTCAAGTTTAACTACAAACTCTTTGCAGTGGGAGCCCAGATGGAGATGTAGAGACTGCATATTTATTCCTTTTCGTCTATTTTAAAAGCCTCTCCAAACACTGATGGTGCAGTGACTCAGAAACACAGTGTCCCCACTTTGCACATCTCAAAATGCCCCATCATCCAAGGGTCAGAGATGGAACTTACTTCCAGGACAGAATTAATACCAAGAAAGACTATATGAGTTTCTCTCATCTGTGTGAACAGCCAGTTGTTTTGCATAATAATACAAGGGAAGCTAAAAAAAAAAAACAGAACACTTAGAACTGATAATATATGACATTCAGAAACACATTTTAATTTAAGACTGTCTTTGGTAAAATATAATAAAGAACAGCAAAAAGAGGGTCTAACTAATTTAGAATTGAAGGGCAAGTATGAGCTTTTCACCTTATTTTGAGATGTTAGAATATGTGCTCTTGGGTGGAAAGAAAAAATGCATGCATCTTGACAAATCAACAATAAATTCAGTCTTAATCAAAGATACTTTAAAATTAATTACTGTACCTATTCCTCTTTCTCCCTGTTCCCTTCCATTTTAACAGACAAAAAGAAAGGGACAAAGTACAACAAAAACCTGGTTAACAAAAATACACATCTATCTTCTTAGCTTCTGGGCACAGAAGTAAATTTATGACAAATTTAATACTAGCCTGAGAGTAACTAAGCCCAATTATAATTATCTTGCTGAGAAGAGAAATTAATTAAACATCCCAGTGATAAAGACCCCACAACAAACCCAGAGGAAACACAATTGGAGGACAGGAGCTTCAAATAAAGGGAGAAGAGAAAGGCAATATTTAGCCCATCTGTTGGGACAGTTATGGGACAAGGTCATCTTTTCAGGAGAGCATGGAGTGCATTACACTAGAAATGAGGCTACCTGGCTGGCGAAGTCAGTCAAGTCCCTAATTCTCCTCTTCAACTTAGTGATTTGCTAATATGAAACACATGTCTCCCTTTTGCACCAAGTTCAAATGACTCTGGAATTCTAACCGTGCAGCTCAGTGACTGAACCAGAACAAGGGGAGAACTTGTCAGGATTTAAGAGCTTTCAGCAAAGCCCTTCAATTGCAGCCAGCACCCTATTCCACGGAAGGATATCAATTATAGATAGTGACTTGCTTTAGCAGGCAGTCGGGACTGTCAGACATTAGATAGACAACCATGAAGAATCATGAATCTTTCTATTAACTGTAAGAGGGAAAAAAGAATGGGTCATGGCTATAAATAAGGTACAGCATCAGAATGGTTTAACACCTTGCCTCTTGGTTGTATGTAGCATGAGAATTCAACTAACTAATTCACAAAACGTCTTCTCTCCCAGTAAAGTCGCAGTAACAGAAATAGTTAATGCTTCCGTCTGTTCCCCAAAATGTGGATTTTGCTACTAGTATTTTTTCCATTTACCATTAAAGTAATTAGGCAAACTTGAAGCAGCTACTCATTCAATCAACAAAAAATAAACTCTCCATTTTATACCAGGTCACTGCTAACGCTACTACACACACCCATGAATAAGAAGAAACTGCTATGTCCTACAAAATAAATCCAATTTAAATGGACAAACTCAGAATTTCCACAGTTCAGACAATGAGTAAAAAGGTGAAAAGTAAGTGATATAAACCAGGTCCTTCATTTATGTGGTTACAAATTATAATTTTTAATTCACTTAATTTAATTTATTCAAATAATAGATGTTGGGCTAAAATTAATTATCACAAAGGTAATATACTGAATTTTCTTCTAATCCTGACATGAATTTCTTTTAGCTGATTTGGAATTTTTAAAAATTCCATCACATATGTATACATTTAAATATTTTAAAGATCATTTTGATAAAACAAATAACGTGGTGGTCATTTAGATGGCAGTGTAAGCAGCCTTACTTTGAAATTACTCAGATCTCTCTGTTAAAACATCATGCATACCTGAAACCTTTTGAAACTGAGAGTACATACAGATACCTGCAACAGTTGCTTTTGTCAAAAGCTTCTGCATTAAGTAGGTAGCAAAAAAGGTTATTACCACACGCCCCAAAATGTTACCTCGAGTCTGTCCTCTAAAGAGAAGTACGTGATGTAGACTTAGAATAAGCACCTCTTTCATTTCTCATGTAATGGCTGAATCCCAACCACAGCACTGCTTGGAAACAGCAATGACTTATCCACAGAAAAGGCATCATGACATGGTGTGATCTCTCAGCAGACCATTTAAAAAGCAAATAGCACCGCCAACATCTCTTTATGATGACGGCTTTTATAAAAGCAATTGTCCTCCATTTAGTTGTTCACTCATTATACCACTAAGAGTACTCCTAGCAGGCTCCATTCTTTGAGACTATGTCCCTACACTAAAAAAAAAAAAAAAAAAAAAAAAAAAAATCCAGGTTTTTTGGTCCACCTTCATATTATAATGCCTGTGGTTTCCATTAAAACAGCCAGCAAGAATAAAGAGCCATTAAGTCAGTCTTGGCTTAAAAATAACACTTGCATCAAATTAAGTTCATGGAAAAATCTGGAACTATACCTTAATTAAAAACATTTGGCTTCCAGTTTCTTGTTCTGCTGAGAAATCTATAATTTTTTCCCATACAATTACAAGGAGAAATGATTAAAAAAAAATGGGGGGGGGAGAGAAGCTAATGTCATGTTAAATCCCCAAAGCATTCTGTATATAATGGATCGCCAAACCTGGCAAAGCGTATTTAACACTAAAATGTAACTGCAGTGTGTGGAACATACTATATAGGATGGGCCACGTTGCAGAAGACACTCTTCAAAAGCTCATATGGCTACGAAACATGTGGGATATGTGATGAATTTTGTAATTTTGGTGCTTAAATGGAGGAGAGTTGTCAAGAATAAGGGTTGTCTAAAAATAAGGAAGAGAAAGGAGTGAGACTGAGTTTGTGTATGGGGTGAATGTGTGTATATGATGGTGGGGGCATGGTAATCATAACAAAAGCACCTGATTTTCTGTCACACTGAAAGCTTATGAAAATGCTACACTTAGCAAACATTCCGTATTTTCTTAACGGGCCCCTGTGCTTCCACACAGAGCATGTAAACTATAGCTTTTTATTCTTAAATATCTTAATGCCCTTCCATCTCAGTTGTCCCTAGTCCCATTTACCAGGAAGACTCCACTGACCTAAGAGAAAGTAGAGGGTAAAATGAAGCTCTAGTAAAGGAAATGTGGCTCCTAAGGGAGGCACAGGTATACGGGGGCGGGAAAGGTCACTGCATGTTTGGAAATCATACAAAGGAGCACAAGAGAAAAGAATGGTTCTCAATCATTCCACCAGCAGCTTTCAAAAATGTACGTCATTAAACAGACTTGTAAAAAACATACAACTTTTTCCATGAAACTATTTGCAAGGGTTGCCTCAAGAAACTTTGGTAATAATTTACCCCCAGCATCTTCATAGAGAATCAACCACCATGTGAAACAATGGAAGAGTTCTTAGCTGTTGAGGGGCTGCAAGAGAAAGTAGAACAAAAACCAGGAATCCCCCACTTCTTCAATGTTTTCTATTGTTACTGGGTCTTGGAAAGGAGAATCAAACTTGGTTAAAAGGTTAATAATAATTCATGTCCAGCTTACTATTACTCAATAACCATCAAAGTCGCTAACTCAAAATAGTGTTTTCTGGCTTACAGGATCAGAGTCATTACACTCTCTATTGAAGACTTTATTGAATTTTACACTAAGCTTTAGCTGACTGAACAGGTCAAGCACCGTAGCTCAGAGTTTTCTTTATTCTCAGAAAGTCATAAAGCCCTCTCCAGTTTGCAATGCTGCTAGCTAAGAAACTTGACTCAGCGCAGGGTCAGGGAAGCTGACCCCGTGGAAAAGGTCACATAGTTGTAAAGCCCGGTTCCTGAGCTCCATTCACTTACGTGCACCAGCTGCTCCTGGGTGTCAAACTCCCTGGTGCAGCCTTCCCAGTGGCAGTTTGTCTCATAGATGACTTCAGGCTCCTGCTTGCTTTCATCTTTGTCCCCTTCCTCCTTCACCAGGGTTGTTCCTTCTGGCTGCTCCTGAAAGGCAGAGGGTGGGAGGTGGGGGGAGAGGAAGGAGAGAGCGAAAATTCAGACACAATAGGATACAACACAGGAAGAGAACATAAAAACCTGGCAGAGCTTGGTCTTCCTCCTAATGCAATCGTTCACTGAAAAGAAAATGGAGCCTAGGTCCATGAACTGAGTTTTGAGAATTGATGACATCAAATGTATAGAATCCTTTGTGTACTTTTTTTTCCAGATTTACCAAACACATCCTCTTCAGAGATGTTAACTTGTGTTTTAAGAAAACAGCCTAAACCATAATAAAGATAATAAGATGTTGAGACCAAACTTTGCTGTCTTGTATACAAAGCTGAAAACAACTAAAATGTCATCCCACGAGAGAAGCAAGTAAACCAAGTCATCTAGTCTTTAATCAAAAGACTGGTTGTTTTTTCTAGCTCAATTCTTCTCAGTATAATAACTGGTTTATTTTCAAGTTTTGGAATTCAGGGAATTGATTTATTGGTGACTCTTATTCTGCTTTCCTTGCTGTTAGAGGCTGAAAGAAGCACTATGTGAATTTTAGAGAAATAGTGACATCCTGCTTCAACTTCTTCCTCCAAAGATATGCTCACTGCCCAAGAACCACAGCATCAAAAGCTTGACAGCTGGGCCTCCCCTGGTGGCGCAGCGGTTTAGTGCTGGGCTGCGGAGCTGCCCGCAGCCTCTGTAGCGCCAGTTCGATCCCCGCCCGCTGGGGAGGGTCCCACATGGCACGCAGACCTCTCCTGCTGCGGCGCCTGCTGCTCCCCTCAGCAGTGTATTTCGTCAGTCTGCCTGTTCTGCTCCCTGCTCGGGCTGTGGTGAATTCTCTCACCCTCTCGTGCTTCTGACTGGGAACAGTCAGAAGTGCAGGAGGGTGAGAGAATTCACCAGAGCCTAGAGCAGGGAGCAGAGCAGGCAGAAGGACCGAAGTACACTGCTGAGGGGAGCAGCGGGCGGCAGGAGAGGTCTGCGCGCCATGTGGGACCCTCCTGCTGCGGCCGGGGAGCAGCCGGGGATCGAACCGGTGCTGCAGAGGCTGCGGGCAGCTTCACAACCCAGCACTCAACCACTGAGCCACCAGGGAGGCCCAAATAAATAAATCTTAAAAAAAAAAAAATGAAAAAAATAAGAAAAATATTAAAAAAAAAAAAAAAAAAAAAAGCTTGGCAGCTGTCTTTTCTTGTCTTCTAAGGTAGCTTCACATCAATGAAAACACAAAGAAGTCCCAGAGGGCTGGGAGAGAATTAGGTATATAGACTCAGGTTCTAATCTGGGGCTAAATGTCAGAAATCACAGACAAGGCCTTAGGTAGACCAGCAGAGTTGGTGATTAGCAAAAACCAAGAAGGATGGATTTAAGAACCCAGAATACTCATCCAGTCCATTCTCAGAGCTATGGCTATAAAAGAAATTCAGGCTATGGCAGCTGATGTTTAAGCTAATGCAGTTCATTTTCATGGACATCCAAACCCTTCAATCTCAAGAGTAAATGAGCTCCTGTCTGGATCCTGCATAGGGGCCCTACAAGATGGCTTATGGCATGATCTACACACTTTTAAACTGAGGCTCAGAAGGTCTAATGAGGAAAAGTAGGGCCCCAACTAGAAGTTCTAATTTCCTTATTTCAGGATTCTGGGTAAAGGACCAGAATCTAAGCAGCCTTAGGTTAGATGAGCTGTGCTTTGATCCCTCCTGGTGCTCCAGGCTCCCCTGGCAAGTGAAAAGTGGCAAAATAAGAGAAATGAGAACTTGAGTACCATCAGGAATATCACTAGCTCTGCCCAGTCAGATTTGGGACCAGGGACTCAGTAATTAAGGTAAAGATCAGGGATGAGGACTGAAGTCTGGTCACGTCTCCATCGGTAACAAATTAAACTGACTGTTTATGAATTATAGTTTGCACCCCAAACAGCTTCCTGCATTTCTTGTTTTTGCTGATGAGCTAGAGAAACAAATGAGGTAGGTCATATAGCCACAGCCAAGAACACAGGGCAGGAAGCCCAGGGCCTCACCTGCTGGCCCCGTGGCCCCGGGCTTGGGAGGTCCTCATCGGGTTTGATCTTGGAACGCTTGTTGTGCATCAGATCCCCGGTGCTGCTCACTGCAGACTCACTTGTGGGCTTGTGCTGATCACATTTACAGTGGCAAAGACAGAAATGAGATTTTGATCATTATGTGGGTTCATGGCAAAATAGGCAGCTCGATAGTGAGTTCATGGCAAAATAGGCAGCTCGATAGAAAAAAGCTAATTTGGCACTAGGACCTGATAGTTCTTGAGACTACCCATCACCAAGTTCAGAAAATGTGTTCAAAGCAAGAAAATACATAATGAAGTATGTATTCCTTGTTTTTGCCTATGAATATAAAATCCCTGTGCCTTTTTAAAGCTGGAACAAGGGAGCCGGGGGTCTGGGCTTTCCCAAGCTTCACTAGTGTGTTCCAAAGAGCAATCTTGTAAGGTGGACACGACACAAACAAGAATGTCTTGCAAAGTTCTTTAATTAAGAGCATCCAGATTCTTCCCCGTGCACATATCCGTGTGGAGACTGCAACAGAGGGCACAGCAGTTTTATTCTTACTGTGAAGCATCTTATGATTCTACGCGCCAGGGGACAGTGACCAAATGAGAACAATACACTCAGGCAACATATTTAATCGAGTGGATTTATAGACATCCCCAGCTCAGAGTGAAGTGGTCCGCTTTTCCACTGAGGATAAAATGACTCTGGAGGAAGAGGCTGCTGTTTAATGAGAAGCACCTATATCACAGATTCACAAAAGTGACAATGGGAGCCCTGGTTTAGGAAGACAGGCTACCATGGGGAAGCCATGAAGGTGCCAAGGGCACAGTGGCATGGACCCTCCACCATTTACCATGACAGACAAGCTCGCCGGGTTGTCTCTCACCTGTGCGGACTCGGAAGGGCCAGAGTTGACCTGCACGGGGTTCAGAACTGCAGGGATCCCTGGAATAGGCCTCTGTGTTGGAAAAGTTGGGGCGGGGTGGATGAGCGGAGGACTGTGTCCAAAGGCAGAACCTAAGCTCTGTTGTCGGCTTAAGATTTGCTGATGCATGTGGAGAGACACTGGTGCGGAAGGGTAGGTGAAGCTCAAGGCAGGGCTGCGTGTGGGGAAATAAAGAGTAAACATCACTTATAGGGAATGCAGACTGTCGCAAATGCATGACCACGACGTTTGCCCCTGTGGACCAAGTTTTAACACCCCAAGTCATATCTGATCCATCAGTTTAAATTAGAAGGGAAAAACAATTACTGACGAAATCTTGAAAACTTCCAAGAGACGGATAATGGCTAAGACAAGATGACTGTGTGCGCATGTACACACAGGCCAGAAGTAAGATTCAGCAGAATGGAAACAAAAGGCATCAGTTCAATAACGACTATTTATTGCAATAACAAACTTTATATAAAAAAGAGAATGGGTGACTACATGCTTTATAGTACTTTTATTGGCTCCCAGTTCCGTATGTTCCTGTATATGGAACAATTCCTTTAATCTCAGCTCACAGTGCGTACCTTCATATGTCTCCAGATCTTATTACAAGAGGAAAGAAAATCAATTGGTTAAATGTGTTTTGAACACCATGCTTGTCATATCACTCATTTGTTTGTAAAGATGGAAAGCTTGGTTCATCCAGAATGCCACCTAAAGAATTTCCATCAGTGCCGTCTGGTTACAGAAGCTGATGGATTAACCTCTCCCAGCCGAAATCAGTGATCAATGGGCTTCGATGGAGGAATATTCCAATGGGAGAGCACAGCTCCCTCTTCCAGCTAAACAGCATTAAATGTCTATTAAAGCCCATTATACATGCTAATGCCTGTCACCACTTCATTATGCCACAGGATTTCCCAGGCTACCGTAAGTTCTGAGGAAGCTGCACTATTACCTCAAGATTTATCGACTATCGGCAGTGCCAAATCATTTTTTATGCCAGCATAGTTTAGGAATCAAATCCTCTTAAAAGAATGAAGTGCTCTTAAGGAATTTGCCAATGACTTAAAAATGCATGAAAATTATAATTGCATTCATGAAAATTTCTTTCTTAAATAATAATCATTAAAAAGATGATATATATTCCCCTCATCCTGCTGTGTAATACCCAGAAAGAATCAGAGTTTCTTGTAATGTCAAAGGTAGAATTCATGAAAATTTCCAATCTAGTGGGTTAATTACTATTGCCTTTAAGCGCATTAACTGAGAATATAATAATTACAATAACAAAATCAAACCATTTCAACAAATTTAAGTAATAATTCCAAAGATATACACCATTCATTAATGTGACTACACATTTTGCCTATTTGATACAATCCATAAAGGCAGCTTCAATGGGATTACATTACTATTATTCCTACAGAGAACCCTGCATTACAATAGCTTGCCCATTTAAGACTGAATATCATTAAGAATACCCTAGGAGAATTTCACCAGGCTTGGAGAAACTCCTTTCATTCTGTATTGTATTTCTTTAATAAAAGAAAGCAGAAACATGGTGAAAACAGTCATTGTTCACAGTAAGTTAGAGAGAAATCAGTAATAATATTCCGTTTCTGCAGTGCTATAGTTCTCTGCCAGTGTTTCCGAAAGCAACCATGAATGATTACAGCAAGACTTAGCTAAGGTAGCTGTGTGGATGATTGATAGGGCATTAATCAAAAGATGCATATCTGCCTCAGAATTTGTTCACAAGCTTTCTTCTAATAGCTGATTTCATGTTCACTGAGCTCTATGCCAGTTTGTCCAATTTATTTTTCAGTGTACAAGCCATTCATCAAAAACCACAATGATTTAACACACCCCCCTTTTCCTTTTGGTGAATGAATATTACTAGGTGTAGCTACCTTATCCTGTTCATTAAAAAAAATAACAACAAGAAATAAAAGACCGCACTAGACATATATTTACAATGCGGCATCCTCCACATACCTTTCCAGAACTGCATGGGCCTGCAGGCTTGGGAAAGTGTCCCTCAGGTCATTGATGGCTCTGATTCTGGGAGGCTCAGTATTTGGGGATTCAAAAAGCCAGGACCTACCCAATTAAGAATCAAGACTACTAAAGAAAACGTTTCATAAGGCAGAAGAAGCCCTCAATTGTCTATATAAGCAATTTACAAATGCCAAGAGTCAGGAAGAACAGGGCCATTTTTACTTTTACAGAGCTGAAGGTGAGAAGACAGAAGAGAGGCTCCACATTGAACCTGCCCTCAGATGCTTCTCTCTGACTTGAGCAGACATGGAATGGAGCTGTGAAGGCTTTCAATACATTTGACGAATATGCCCTTTCAGGGTCCCTTTATTGCTGGTAAAACCAAGAGGCATGAAGGAACATTTTCTAAAATCCATATCAACTATTAGACTGTAAGTGATATGAGAATATACACAGAGCAGACAAATGCTTTTCAACCTTCACTGCTTATCCACAATGAGCCTGTAAGGAAATGCTCTCTCCTCCATGGGCAGAGCTGAGAGATGCACACAGCCTACAGGTCACAAAGCTGATTTAGAATTCAATGACAGAAGCAGAAGGTCTTGGCTCTGTCATAGCACTGGTGTACAGAGTTGGGAGCCAAGGTTCCTTTGCTCAGTACAGCCAGCAGGGTTCTCAGGAAGGTTTGGAGGAAGAATCAGGGTCTAGACAATGGCCATAGCACATAGAAGGCAAGAATGATGACCCTTGGTGGTCACTCTGCTTGTCAGTAATTGCAGTGTCCTTCCAGATCTCAGCATGGTTACCTCCATATTGTCACTGGATCCCACCTTAAATGCACATTCTCAGACAGGGAGGCTTCCTGAGATCCTCTGATGCCACCATTAAAACGAGTATGTTCTGCAGCTTCTCACCCACCATTCTCTATTGTTTGACAATTCTTAACATAGCACAGGACATTTTCTGAAACCATATTCTCTCTCCCCCTCTGGAATGTCAGGTCCAAGGAAAGCTTGGTCCTGGCATCTAGTGCCAGAAACACTGCCTGGCACATAGCAGAAACTGAATATTCCGTCAATGAGTGACTGTACAGCGTCCATGTATTCATTTCCAAATGCCTCTGCAACAAGTTGGACAAAAGTAGTGACTTAAAACAAGAGACACTTATCATGTTCTAGCTCTGGGATCAGAAGACTCAAGTGGGGCTTCTGTAGCGTCCAGGCACCTTGCCTGTTCCCGATTCCACAGGCTACCTACATCCTGGGCCCCCACCACTGCCACTCCAACTTTCTACTCTGACTCTAACTCTGACCCCTCTGCCTGCCTCTAATATGGACCCTGTGATCATACCTTGTCCACCTGAACAATCCAGGAGAGCATCCTCATCTCAAAGTCCTTTAATTAATTACTGCTGCAAAATTCCAAGTGCCATGTAAGGCTACATGTTCACAGTTCCCGAAGATGACCACATGGGCACCTTTGAGGGCAATTATTCTTCTAACCACTCTCTCAGCACTCACTTCCAAGAAAGAGATGCTTTCCTCTGAAAACTCTACTTTGAATGTGTCTATGAACAGTATTGCTTAAACAAAGCTAATGTTTAAATTCAATTCTTTCTGCAGAACTTGAGAAGCTGAGACAGACTTGCAAGTTAGAGAGGATGAAACTTTTTTTAAGTAAACTCATCATTACAGACCCCAAAGAGATTGTGTATTCATTCCATAATTTCCTAGAAATAAAAAGCATTATTGTTGTTGAAAAGTTTTATAAATACCTTCCATCTCTGAAGAAGGATGCAGTCTAGTCTGAAACCTGGTCTACCGGAGATTTATTACCTCAAAGTTTTTATATTTCTGTTCACCCTATTCCTCCTGATGGATCACTCAAAGAGACATTAATTTTACATACTGATTTCTGAACTGTCTTCACTTAACATTCTATAAAATATAAAACTATTCTTACAGCTTTTGTTTCTTTTCTAAGTGACTATATAGAAGATGGAGCAAATTAAAAAACAAAGCATTTGTGAGAATACGACTTATAACTGCTATCTATGTTTAACTGCTATCTATGTGTAAACAATATTAGGGGTTTTTATGTTAGATGGCCCAATTCTTCCCAAGCAATGCGGTAACACAGTAACAGGTCTCTTGAAATAAGGGCCTAAAAGTAAGTAGTATAGGGGAAAAACCAGAAATGCTAAGGTCATAAATCTGAAGAATATGGGCTCAATAGTCCCAGACATGGACCTGTCAATATGCAAATGTGCATTCCAAATGGCCAGATGCAATTTGCTAGAGTATTTAAAGGAACAGCTAGAGACTAGTACTCCTTGAAAAGTACTTTATGAAAAACGCTCCCCCAGGACAATAAAGTCATAACATAATAATGAAATATGTGCTCTTTATTTCTTCTCAGGAGCAGGAAAAAAGAAAATTTGGATTTTAGGTCCCTGACTGAAATGTGTATGGTGTCCTGGCCCTTCACAGGTAATTTCCATCCATCCAAATAGATTTATAGTTATTTCTTAAGACAGTAAAATATGTGACAGCATATTTTTCCATGTATGTGGAGGTTTGTGTTTTTTTTTTGAGTCATCATTTAGATATGATGTACATTTGGACATTGTGTTTGAAAAAGTTAGACATAATCAACTTATTGTTTTAATAAGCTAATGGGTTTTGTGAATAAATATTTGTTCTATATTGTGTTTTTATAGCAGCCTAAATTTTTAAGTAAATATAGAAACACAAGAATGGTATTAGGATTCAAGATCGCCATTTGCCTTTTTATCCCTGCATGCTGTAATCACCCTGTCATCTCTATAATTATCAACCCATGGACATACCATGTACTATTCATATAGACTAACTTTCTGAAAACTAGAACAACACATCTACCACACAGAAACTTCCTTTAGCAAAGATGATGATTAGAATTCTAATTACTCATTAAAGAGCCCCTTTATTCATTGGAGAAATGTCTGTTGAGTGGTGTCAAGGTGACTGGGCACGGATGTGGAGGTGAAGTGGGGAGCACAGGCGTGAGCAAGACATATCCAGCCTTCCACCGGTGACCCAGCACTTGAATTTCAGTGAAGGGAAACAAACAGCAAGCTACAATAAGCAAGTAAACATGGAGTTTCAAAGAGTGTTAAATGCTATCCTCCTTTTGGAGAGCAATTATTTGGGAATTATTTGCATGTGAAGGAGGACACCATCACATTTGGAAAAAAAAATCTGAATGTGTCTTTAAACTGTTTAGCATTTTTAGAAACTTAACAGATATCATTACTCTATGCACTATCAATACCAAAAGCAGATGAGACAGGTATTGGAAAATAAGAAAATGTGAATTCAGATGAATTTGGGTAAGTTAAAAAGTCTGGCATTGATGCCCACCAAGGTCCAGGCAAAGACTCGCCTTGCTGATGCATAAAGTCATAAAGCAAGAATAACATTACACTTCTCCCTATCACTGTGAGACAGAAACAGTGATTGCCTTGTATGCACCCTAAACCCTCATTCACTCTAGAGAAAGCTAGCTACTCATTTTAGATTTCTTCAAGTTTCTTCCTGTTCCCTGTTATCCATTGGTTCTATCACGTACTATTCCTCAAGTCAGCTTCTAGATCTCACAAAATTAAACTTAAAATAGGACAAAGAAGACACCAGCATTTCTCTAGTAAAGGACTAGCCACTAGTGCCAATAACACTATGTTAGAAAATATTAACAGAAATCGTCTAAGGTCTTTCACTAAGTAGAAGATGAATTTCCAAGTTATGACAGCACTGTGACCATTTGTGCATTATATTCTAATGTAAGTCCTTTAGGTGCTGGAAAGAGTCAAGATAACGGTGCTGAGGGTAAGAGGTAAGATAAAGGAGAAATAAGAGGAACGAATGCTCACAGGCAATTCAGTGTGAATATCTTCACTGTGCCCAACTGCTACCTCTACTACTTTGATGCTATGATTTCTAGTCACAGATTACAAAGTTCCAGCCAACTGAGATACAGCTAGTGGTGGGCTATGACCCCGGGGATATTTGCTGAGAGTGCACAGCAGTCAGACCACATTTCTGACATGGGTCACCGTCTCAGAGCCAGATGGATGATCACGGAGCGCGCGGGCCAGGTCTGTGGACAACGAGGATCAGTTCTCCTGGGACTCTGCTACTGGTGCCTTCGTCCTGGCACTGCAGAACCATGACAGCTTTAATGAAATGTGTCCCTTTCCAGTATGACAGGTGTCCTGTCTGTACTTTACAAATGTGGAGACAATTTCAGAGAGCAGAAGGGTAAGGGAGGTTTCCATAGCTGGCTGGTGGCAAAACTGGGATCTAAGGACAGACACACCTGACTCCAAAGGCTATACCTGTGACTAGAGTGGCTCATCCTGAAAACCCCCTCAGGCTCCTCCACACATACTGACTGCTATCACGTGGTTATTTGCTTTTCCCCTGTTTCAACACTTCCTTGACTATATTCAAATAAATAGAGCATACAGCATCTATCAAAATGGAGTTTCAGGGCCTCCCTGGTGGCGCAAGGGGTTAAGACGCAACCATTGAAGTTGTCCGCAGCCTCTGCAGCATGAGTTCGATACCCAGCCAGCCAGGGAGCTACCCACATGGCGCAGCTGACCTCTCCTGACTCGCCCGCTGCTCCCCTCAGCAGTGTACTTCTGTCAATCTGCCTGTTCTGTTCCCCACTCTGTCTCTGTTAAATTTTCTCACCCCCCACGCCTCTGGCCTGTACCCCAGCTCTTGTACGCATAAATAAATAAATCTTATAAAAAATGGAGTTTCATAATGTTTACTCAGTGGTTTGTTTGCCAAGGAACATTTATGATAATTGAACAAGAAGTGAAACGATAATAGAAAACATTATGGGAAAAAAATGCTATTTTTCACTTCTGATAAACAGGATATGTTAATACTACTAATTCTTCTCCCCAACCTCCCAAACTGTTGAAGTTTCCCAAATACATATATTCATTGTGAAAGACCCAACAGTTAGCAGCTAAAGCTAATGTCCATTTATAAAATATGACAATAAACAAATCCTCCCTTATTGGGGTGGGGAGTAAAGGGGGAATGGGCCCTCTGGATTATGGTAGAAGTTGCTAGGGCTTTGGTGGTAGTTTGATAACAACACTTAAAGAGAAGTGAACTTATACCCCTCAAGCATACAGTGTTGTAAACCAACATTACCTCAATAAAAAGAATTTAAAAACAAACAAAGTAAAGTTAATGAAAACAAACTTCAGTATCTACTATTTAAAGTAAGAAAATCATCACAGTTTGCAAAAACTAAAGTTTGGAAAGGGTTGCTAGTAAGTGAATTTTTACATTGTTGGCGAAAAACTAAGTGAAAGCTAATACTTATAACTAGGGCCACTTAATTAATTAGCATATGATCTAATTTTATGTCTAAAATAACTGTTAACTAGCACAGTTCAAAACACTGATTAGCTAAAAAAAAAAAAAGCACTGTAAACATACCTCAAATTCATAAATTGGCTTACTTTTAATTCACCACTTATCTACATCAGCCCAAATTTGATCCATTAACAGGGAGAAAAATTTTATAGTAAGCATGTTTACAGAAGTCTGCTTGTACCCCCCCATGCAAGTGCAGACATAGTGCAAAGAAAGTAGCAAAATGCTTTCCCTATGCAGCAAAGGAAGATGATCAAAATAGAGATCTTTCAAATTAAGCTAAAAATACTTAATCAGAAAACAAGGAAATATTCTTCAGCTGGACTTTCTCTGAAAACTCTGCCTGGCAATGCCATCTGCCTTTACATTGTAGCAGACAGAAAGCCCTGCTGTCCCCTTTTCCTTTCTTCCTCTCAAGGTTCCCCCTTGCTCCAGGTAGTAATTTTGGGGAGACAGGACTGATAGCATGACTGATGTTTTGATTTCTGCTTATATTCTTGCTTGAATTGCACAATCAGGTTTCAAGTCAGTTTTTCCTCGAGCATTATGATTAGCAAGGGGCATGTGGGTAAAAAGATTTGCCATTTTATCATATAGCTACTTCTTTATATGGGCTACTGACCCAAGGTCTACAAAAATTTATTTTTGGCCAGTAATTGTCTCTGAGTGCACAGTAGTGATATTTGACCTGCATCCCCAGTCAGGCTCAGCAGCGTGTTGTTTTGTTCTTCCTCACACGCAGTCAGTCCTGCCAGTGTAGGTGCGGTTGAGCACAGACAGTTCATTAAAGAAAAACATAATGGATTTGGGAAAACACATACCTGATTGCACTTGCAGATAAGTGACCATAGGAGCCACTTGCTGAAGAGCTGCTGCGGGAATTATTGAGGATGGTCACCAAGGAGTTGGGAGATGTCCTTATCATGGTCTGAAGGTCAAAGCTATGATCGGACAGTGGTGATATGGACAGTGTGCGTTTTCGGCTCGGCCTGGCTGACAGCCTGGGGCTGGGGAATCTGGTGCCTGTTATATAAACAAAACAGAACCTGATTACCTGCGGTTGGACTCTGTACCTGTTATTTATTGCCTCCTGTGTGGAAGAAGTGAAGGATAAGAAATGGGCAACTTGCAGTGACAAGTACCTCTTCTCCCACTCGTGATCTACTGGCTACAATTGAGGAAATTAGGGAGAAATATTTATCTTCCAGGGGCTTACCTCGAGGGAGCTCTGTTTATTAATGTGCAGGCAAAATGATAAATTGCTAAACAAAAAGGAAAGACTTTTATGTGTTATCCCTCCCATTTCTAGTGATTTATGAATCTGATGGCTGCTTAGATATTCCCATCATTAATTCACCACAAGCGACAAAGACAGTGGTTCCCAGAGTCACACAACAAGCCACTCTCCCCATCCCATCACATACCGGTTTGAGGCAAAGAGCAGAGGAAAAAAGTGAATTGAAGTTCCCAAGATAAAAAAATTTAAATGAATTGAATCCCAAGACAAAAATTCAACTTAGTTATACCCTCATTTTCCTAGGATTTCTGAAGTTATCTGATTCACGGAATACTTAAAGCTTTGCTGAAGCAAATGATAAATACATTATCCTAAATTAACGGTTCTCAATCAGGGAGTAATTTTGCCCCCAGGAGATATGTGACAACATCTGGAGACATTTTGGCTATCACAATTCACAGGGTGCTACTCATATCAAGTGGAAGGTAGAGGCCAGGGTACTGATAAATACCCACAATGCATAGGGCAGCTCCCCATGATGGAAAATTATCTGAGCACAAAAGTGCCAGCGTTGAGGAATCCTCGCCTAACCCCCCATATTCTAAGAGCATAAATTCCAAGCAACATTTAAAATCTTGGGACGTGATTTAACACATTTTTTGAAGGTGTGGCGGGGGACCCTGTAAGAATGAGTGTATTTTGGTTCTCTGGACCTTGCTTCATCAGTCAGACTACCTAGAAATAATGCTTTTATTAGAATTCTTTGCCTTCAAGGAAATTCCACCAATGAAGTCCTAATTTGGAGGTTTGTAGCTCACACTAACAAGCACACCAACCCATGCGATGCATTTTTTTTTTCCTCTTGGGAGACTTAAAAATTGGATACCTATTTACTTTTAATTTGGTAGATATGGGCAATTTGAATTTCAGAACTTAGCTGTGAACATGGCTTACAAGTGCACTCCTGCCTTTTCTAAGGTCACATTTACACTACAGAGTCATCTAGCTAAAATGTAATGAAAGAATGAGAACATAATCCCACTAGATATGAAGCAAATGAAACATGACTACCTTTCAGTAATAATGGAAGGTTTCTATTTTTTAACATGGGTAGACCTGGTTACAGGGACATGGCAATTTTGTTGTACCCAAGTAACAGAAGTAGAAGGTAAGCTTTTTTTTTTTTTTTTTAAGAATTTATTTATTAATTTATTTATTTATACAAGCACTGGGTACAGTCAGAAGCACGGGAAGGTGAGAGAATTCACCAGAGACAGGGCAGGGAACAGAACAGGCAGACTAACGAAATAACTGCTGAGGGGAGCAGCGGGCACAGCAGGAAGAGGTCTGTGTGCCATGAGGAACCCTCACTGGCGGCCAGGGATCGAACCAGCGCTGCAGAGGCTGCGGGCAGCTTCATAGCCCAGCGCTCAACCGCTGCGCCACCGGGGGACGCCCCCTTTTTTAAAAAAATATATTTAAAGGGTAGGTTTATTAGGGAAAGGGAAAGGAAAGTAAAAGACACTTGCATAGACACAAGCAGGCAGGAAGAACTGCACCAAAGGAACAGGTTTGCTGAGAGAGGCCTGCATAGTTGCAGGCAGGCAGCCATGAGGAAAGCGGCCTCTGCTGAGGGAGGTCAGTGAAGAGAAGTCCCGGCTTGGTACAGGTCACAGGCAGGCAGAAAGCTGCTGCCCTGCAGGAGAGAGCTAGTGAAAAGAAGCACCTGCATAGTCACAAGTGGGCAGAAGGAGTGCTGCCAGAAGGTAAGGCCTCTTTAGAAAAAAATTATAGGCTCCTTGTCTCCAGAAAATTCACTGGAAATATTTTCTTCATCAGAGATACACTTTGACACATGTTAAAGTCCAATATGCCTTGAGACAATTTAATGAAACTCAACAGATGCATATGAAAGTCAATGTAAATAATATTATATAAATACATTAAGCTTTATAGTAAATGCAAAGTAAATTACAAACTACAACTGAAGTGTCAGTACCATCCACGTGTAAATACTGGAAACTGATTTGAGAGACAAAAATTGGACCACTCAAATTTGTCTTTTAGGCATATTTAAAATGGGTTTCTTCACTTAGAATAGTTTCACTATGAGCCTGATTTAGGGTATTTGAGTACACAAATATCACTATCGATAATGTACACATCTTTCAGTGTTTAATTCAGCATCTTTTTTTATTATGAAGCTGCTTCACACATAAATGTTTCACATTTACTTACTATGAGAGGCTTATTTCATTACAGAATTTTCTCAGTGAAGAATACATTCTACTTCCAAATACTTCTGAGGCTTATCGTCGACTTCCATAGAACCTTCCCTGCTCCATGTGACTCAGTGACCACTGGCAGAGTTAGAAACAAGTCATTCTAAGTAGAGTTTATCCCTGGAGCACCTCCAGTTATTTAAATCACTAACTAGAGAGGTCGTGTGATGCTCTAAAACACTGGAGACCTCTGTCTCCCTCATCTCTTCCATGAGATTTGCAGGTTGGTACAATTGCCTGGTATTTTTCCTCCAAGACATATTCTAATTTAAGTCACTTTTCACTAATATCACTAGTATGATTTTCATGAGTCCTTATCTCTAAAATGTTTCTTTTAGGGATTACCTGCTCCCCTATATTTTAAGGTTACTCTAATCCTGAAAGGAAGAACTGGAACCACAAAATAGACTTGTTCATTCTCACTTGCAACATACAGACACCCCATCCCGCAGCTGGCTGAAACCCACATGTGCCCACTGTTGGCACATTTGATTCTGAAATAGGTGTTGTGGTTTCTGCAGAGCTGTAACGATAGAGCAGAGTGACCAGCTACACACCACCGGCCCTGCCCTTCAAGTACACTTAGAATGAAGGAATTTAAAATCGTTTAGCTTTTCCACTGAAAAAGTTTCCTGTAACTGAATTCCTGGGAACTCTTCTAATGTTCTGTCCAACTAAATGCTTTTCAGTTATTTTAGAGGAAAGAAATATAATACTTTACGCCCCTAAAATATACTCTTTTCAACCTCCTATTAACAAGGAAGAGAGTCAGAATTTTGGGTCAGCAACAGGAATCTTTGTGGAAGGGAACTGCTAAAACACAAGGTGAGCATTTGCAGAACAGCTGCAAAAGAGGTAGCCAGTTCTTCACTGCTCACTCTTCTACCTCCTCAGATGTAAGTGGAGAGATCTCATTGTTCCAACGCAAATCGCTCCAATCTGGCTTTCTGTTAATTGTTTTGTTTATTCTAATAAAAAATTCTGACAAAGAAAAAGGAGGTTTCTCTTTATGTGATGAACGATAGGACATCTAAATTCCTACTTAATGACAATCAATTTACCATATACTCTGGCAAATTAAAATTCCTTTAATTAGTTTTTACAAAGTAAAAGGGTAGCTTCATCCTTTATTTAGATAAAAACCGCCACTGCCTGACTAAACATATTCTCATCAAACAGAGGAAGGTAATATGTGCTGACCTTCCAAGGATTCTCTCTTCTTTTAATTCTTTATTTGCCGATTTTAAATAACTAATTTGCATAATAACACTGAACTTTTTCCCCCCCAACATCGCTAATTGAAATGTGGTTATGATGAATCTGTAATGTAAGCTCTCTATTCTACAAAGCCTGAAAAAAAAAAATCCTACTGAACATGTAACTCTGTTACTTTGTGTGTGGTAATGAATTCCTCAATGGAAAACAACACAAACTGTAGAAAAGGACTCTGGCTTTCAGGGATGAATAGTTTGGTGTGCATTTCACTGATGATGCTTCAGGGTCACTTTCTGGCAAATGGACCTCAAAGAATCTGAATAAATGAGAATTCTTAGATGTTCTGAAATGTGATAATCATAGGCTCATTTATCTATATGTCTAGATAAGTAACCCAAAGGAATCACCGTAAGCCTCAAGAGATACAAAAATAAGTAACATAAAATGCAGCAAATGATGCTATTTTCTTCCACTGCCATGAACTGAAAGTAGCTCCTTCTGGTGTGGAAATGGTTTTTATTTTTCCTAGATAAAAGATCTCAGTGAAATGTAATTTTTAATGAAAATTAAACTTAAAAAATGAAATAAAAATTAAATCAATTTTTGGACCATAAAAATCTATAAAACCAAGGAAGGAATGACTAGCATCCATGTAATGAAACATATTCCCTTATCTTGTTATCAAGACAATCAGGACAGGACTGTTTTTGGCTATCAGATTATAATCCCCTGCATTTTCCAGCTCATGGGTAAACGAGGAATGAGTGAAACAAGCAATCCCAGTGCACAGGGCAGGTTCACTATCAATTTGGCAGATGGATAGAGAGAGTCCTGGAGCCCTCAGCATGCGTGCCCTACTATGTCGTAGTTGGCAGGACTGTTTGACGCAAGCAGGTATGGAGCCCTCTGAGACTTGGGGAGGGGTTGAGGGGTGGCCGGCCATGAAAAGATGGTACTCGGTGGCCGGACTCCTCGCCCATTGGGTATCTCCTCATGAATGGCCAGAGACAGACAGATCCCTGTGGCTGTTGGAACGGGCCCTGTGCAGAATAGAAGAGACTTGGACAGACACAGTACCCACGAGGCGGCAGGGGCTATGGGATAGGTTTTTCTCACTGCTCTGCGAGAGTCTGTGCAGAAAGAAGACTCCAAGGCCTGGCAATTCCTGGTTGAGACACAGGCCCAGAGAAAACATGAGAGGTTTCTGGAGGAAGAGATCCAGAGAGTGACCACCCAATCCAGAGATGTCAGATTCCTTCTCCAGAGAGGAAGAGGAGGCTGGTCCTGAGCTCCAGCCTCACCCTGTGATGACTCAGAAAATGAAGCACCAGCAGCCCATGGCCCCAGGGGTCAGGCTGCTGGGCCACCAGGGATGGTGGAGTTCACCACGAATGGCCCATACATCCAAGTGGAACTGGTGGACTTGGGCAAACAGTTCTGTCAAAAACCAGGAGAACCCTTGGCAGCCTGGTTGCTGTGCTTGTGGGACCTGGGGGTGGACGCAATGGTTTGCACAACACAGGTGATGGAGAAACTGGCCTCAGGGACCCTGTAGCCATTGTTTAGACAGAGGCTACAGAACAGCTGGCCACTGTGGCCTGGGTGACAACTCCCTGTTGAATTGGGTAGTGGCTGCTGTGTGAACAGTTTGGGCCAATTCAGGATATGTGCCAGAGTCTGTGAGGAAGTGACAAACATGCTGAACGCCAGTACATGCTGGTGCGGGTACTTAGTGAACAGGGAATGCAGCAAGCTGTTTAAATGCTCATGGCCCTGACGACAAGCATTTCACGGCAGGAATGAGGGATGTGGTATTGAAAAATGCCCCCTCGGGCCCTTTTGGGTCCCTTATGGCAATCCTGGTACCCTAAGTGAAAGGCTGAATATGTGCCATTCACCACAATGGTAGCCAGCTCGGGTGACGTCAAGAGCCGGTGCTCTCAGAAGGGAATACAGGGAGTTGAAAAACCAAAAAGGATGTCAAAAAAGGCAAGGACGCCTCTTAAAGTCACCTGTACCCAGATGTGGACAGATCTGGCGAAAGCAGGTATAGATCACGCTAAATTACATGCACAGTCCAATGCATATTTGTTAGAGCTACGGAGACAATTTTGAGGAGATCTGAGTTCACACCATGACAAGATGGGATGCTGTGAAGGGGGAGGCTGGGAACTCCAGGTCCCAGGCACATGCATTGTGCTTGGAGGACAACTTGTTGCTGACCCCGGCCCAGGGCGGAGGCCGCCCTGTCTGCTTTTGAATAGGGTGGCATGAAGGCCAAGGAACCCATACACAGGGGACGGGAAGGGAACAGAGGCCACAAGCGGAGTTTGTTATCCATGAGTACCCATGTGCACATGAAAAAGAGCTGGCTTTAGTTCAGGGGTCTGCTTGTTATACTGACGGCTGTGGAGGCCAGAGTGTCAAGGTGACAGCAGTGAGACCACACTTGGGGATTTGGCGATTACCCTTAAAGGGGTATAAAGTGTATGTGTCATCAATCCTGGCGTACATCCTGGGTGTGGACGTGCTCCATGCCTGTGGCTACAAACCATCGCTGGAGAGTTTTGACTTAGGGTACGTGTGGTAAAGGCAGCGTGGTATGGACATACTAGGCATTAGCCCATACAACTGCCAGTCCCTAGGTGAGTGACCAATATTAAACACTATGGACTGCCAGGTGGCCAAGAAGAGATTACAGGCCTAACAGCAGAGCTGGAGAAAGTGGGCACTGTGCGTGCTGCCCATATTTATAATCCCTATAATTTGCCCATGTGGCCGGTGAAAAAGCCTGATGGCTCTTGGCGTGTGATGGTAGAATACTGTGAGTTGAATACAGTAGTTCACCCCTTGCACGCAGCAGAGCCTTCAGGGGCAGACTGGATGGCTGGTTTGAGCCATGAGCTGGGCACATATATCTTTGTAGCCAATCTGGCTAACGCCCTCTTTACCTATAGCACCAGAGACAGTCAAGACCAGTTTGCCTTCTCATGGGAAGGCCAGCAGTGGACATTCATTGTGCTTGGTGCGGACACTAAACGAGAGGTGCAGGAAAGGTGGCCTGGCTCCTGTGGAGGTGTTGCTGCTTTCTACCTCTGCTCCCATCCAGCTGCAAATACAGACTTTACATTTTGTTTAAGCCTGAGTTTGAGCAGCAGGAGGACAATATTTTATTGCCATCCCTGACTGGGTTAGATCTGGGACAGACTATGGGCTGGGTATGGCCTTGGACAGTAAAGGATCCCTGTATGTGTTGGGAGGCCTCCATCGTCCCTTGGAGATGTGGCCTGGAGGTCGATTTACAAGTAACACCATGGTGACTAGGCAGTGGCTACCATGGGCACGTGTTACCTCCCTGTAGTGGCAGATCAGAAGGCAAGAGTAAATGGAACATTTGTGTTGACTTTGTGGCCTATTATGAGCTTGCCTTTCTTGTTGCATGTAGAGCCTCTGATGCCTCTATGCTGGGAAAGCGCATGCAGTTCTTGCAACCTGGGAGGCCACTGTTGCCAGCTATGGTGTTGTCTATGACCAAAAAGTTGGCTTATAAACTGCCAAATGGGAGGCATCTCCCATTGCTGGTGCCAATAACTTCTTTAACTTTTTGTCCCTAGGTTCATATACTCTTAACATCTAAGTAGATGTGGTTGTATTAGTTGTATTCACTTTGCAGTCTGTTACAGTTTGTATTATTTTTGTGGGTCATGGGTACAGTGTTCCACATTTACCAAGGGAATCCTGTCGAAGAACAAAGTGTAAATTGCACTGCAAAAAAACGTTGAGGGGGTGGGTTGTAGGGTAAATGAAGTTACCAGGCTTTTTCTGCCCTCCTGCCATGAGGTGCACCTGTAATTATGGACACCTGGGCCCAGAGAGCACCGGGCATGTGCATATGTAAATAGAGACACCTGTGCCAAGGGGCCAGGGGCTATAAAGGCTGTGTCACTCTGAGGCAGGAGGACAGAGGAGAGAAGATAGCCAGAGATATGCTGAGAGAGAAAGCTGGTCTGTCTGTCCTGGTTCAGCAGAAAAGACCTGTAAAAATCTACAGAAGGCTCCAAAATTCTCTTTTCACCTGGTAGAACTGAAGATGAACTTACCCAGCCTGGGATGGTTGCAAAACACCCAGGATGGCCAAATCCATGGACACTTCCTAGAAAATCAAGGGACCTAGAACACCAGATATTGATGGTTCCTCCTACTCTAGTTGGAAAGTTAAGATGATCACCTGATCTTTACCCCTTCCTCTCCATTTCATGAGCTAGCACCTGCCACCCTCAGCCCCACGGCAAACAGCCCCCACACTTACTATCCATGGCATGCAGGTACTCCATGTGGATGGCCCCAGCACCCGCGGTGGCAGCCGAGGGGATGATGTCTGCGTAGGGGCTGCGCTGGCCGGCCAGCAGGGCCATCTGATGGTAGTATTCAGCTGGGCTGACTCCAGCGTGGGGGGCTAGAGGAGAAGACAGGGGAAGTGTGGGTACTGATGGGAAGGAAACAAGAGAAGCTTTCTAGACACATCCCTGATCCATCTGTCATGTGGCCCATATTAGCAATTCCTTTATGCTCGCCCTAGTGAAATTCCTTTAACTCAAATTGTGCTTTCACTGAAGTCCAGAAGATATCCTTTGGTTGAAAATGAGATTGAAGTAAGAGAATAGGAAAAATGAAATACATTATAAAATATTTGAAGTTAAAGAAATCACCAAGAATTCAAAATGATTAAGATGTATGTGCACACACTCATCCCTATGCCTCCCTTCCTATATCCACTCGCTCTATGTTCACATTTCTTATAATAGACAACTGTTGATTTCTTTCCACACACGCTTAAAAGACCTCCCTACCCTTCTGACTGGAGTGTCTGAGACAGCTCTCACTACTGTGAGGACCGGGGGTTTGTAAATGAAAAAGAGCACGGTTTAATAACACATGATTGAATGATAAACTGCAATTTTGTGTTCCATAATTTAAAAGCTCTTTTTTTTTTCATTACAAAATCAAAAAAGAAAATATACCTATCAATCTGGAGCAATTTACTGGCAAGAGTCAGCGCTATAGGAGTGGGTAATCATCAGTTTCCACCTGCCAATTTCATTGCACAACTGGCAAGATTCTGCAGCAGTTCTGAGGGTAGTCTCCAGATCAGGAAGGTCTGGATGCAAATCCCAGCTCCCCACTTCTCATTTTGGATGTCCAGATGTACCCACAGTACTTAGCACATGGCATTCAATCAATAAAGGTGAGTTTTGCTATTACTCTGTGCAAATACCAGCACTCTAGCACTAGGTCTGTGTATGTTTTACATTTTGTGTCCATAAAGATATATGTGTATGTGGAGAGGGAGAGAGAAACATTAGTGATTTGACATTATTTTGTTATTAACTGGACACCTGAGAGGCAGGAAGAGGAAAGCAGAACACTCAAAGAATGTGTTATTCGTACTCATCATTAAATACTAAGGAAAGCAGATGACAACTTGCTTTAACTAGAGAGTCCACTTTCCGCTGGCCCATCTGAATTTCCACAAGCCAAGCATAATTCCAAGTCTGTGGCTGGCTAGCCTCCCTGATCCCTCTCCCTCTGTCTCATTGTTAGTCATTTCCAGAAACACTCAAGAACTCTGCAGAGGTTACTCTCCACTTTTTCCATTTTAAAACCAAATCCAAAATACGAATCCTGTCCAAATGGCAAAACTCACCCCTTAGATACCTTAAAGTATATTCACCACACTGAAAAAGAAGGGAAAAACAGCCTGCCACTGTTACTGGAGCACAGCTACTTCTGGATTTCAGCTGAGTGGACACTTGCTGAGTGTTGCTTCCCACCTACAACTGCTGCTGCTGATAGTCAGCCTCGGAAATTCACTGATTGGAGAATGAGGACACGAAGGAGTCATATCAAACACTGCTCAGTGAGGTGGAGGGCATAGTGTGTCTCTGTGTTTTGACAGAAGCACCACCAGATTGTGGTCTGCTACAGAGAACTTTTGTAATTAACATCGCTTATGCAATTCTGGACCTTAATTCCTGTTTCAGCACTTGTGGACAAAAGTGAGTCTGTGCATGCGTGCATGAGATGGGAAACACTCTTCCCATTTTATAATTTGACAGTTGCAAAATAAACAGTTCCAATTAAAAAGTCATATGAAAATTAATTAACTGGGAAGCTAATAGAACCAACAGGAATTTAGTCCTTGAGAGTTTAAAATGAGCACCAAGTTGAAACGGCATTACAATCAAATTTCTTTTGTTTCCTCACAACATCCCTTTCTTCATTTGGCAAGGTCAGGTCAAAGACACAGGCGTGTGCAACAGGTCTGCACCTTCATGTTCTCTAGGACCTTCTACTCAGAGTGTGGGCCATGGACCAGCATCTCTCACTCCACCTGGGAACTTTCCCAAAGTGTCCCCTCTCGGGTCGCACCCCAGCCCGCTCCACAAGAAATGACGCTGTATCACCATCTGTGTGAGGTACGCACACTGGAGCTTGAGGGATGCTGCTCTAACAGACATATCTGTACACATATGCCTCTCAGAACAGAAAGGTGTTCCGAAAGTTGTGAGAATGGCTACAGGGTCAGGTTAAACATGCGTGCAGCAAAGAATAGGACATGGTCAAGAGCAAAGACTTTAGAGTTACTGAGTTCTGACTTTGGGATCTACCTCCGCCACTTACAAGCCAATGGACCAGGATGCAAGTTACTTGACCCCTCTTCCCCTTGCTAGCCAAACCTGAAGATGGAGATAACATTACCACCCAAGGAGGTGTCACAACCCTGAATTGAAAGCATGCTCTTAAAGGACTTAGCACTGTGTCTCGCCATAGACAACAAACATTAGAGCAACTGAATTCCACAGCCCAGGTACAGACAGGGTGGGGATGGGAGAAGGGAGAAGGGAGGTAGCGAGATAATTAGAAGCAGAAAGGGTTGGTCTGAGACTTACCATCTGTGGGGCTCAGGCCCCGGGCTGCTGAGATCATGGAGAGGGACGGGCTGCTGTGCAGAGACCGGATGTAGTCCATATAAGGGTTGATGTAGGGATGTGGAGGGCTGAAGGGGGAGTCAGATGCTGCAGCAGGATTCCGGTGCGGGGAGATCCTAATGAAGGGTAGGTCCGAATACGTTGGGCTACTAGATAAGGCAGAAGGCCTAGGTAAAAAGAAAACCAAACACAAGAGGATGTGAGACTGGTATCTCTAGAGGCAGAGGCTAGCTGTGAAAGAAAATATATAAAATGAACTCCAAGTGTGTTAGGGAAAAAATTGTCAGAGACATACATTTCAGTACCATTACCTTAAAATCATGGTGACATAATACAGGTAGAACCCTGCTCTACATTTATCTGGGCAAAGGACATTTTCCTTTGAGAAATGTCATGGCACTATGAATATAGGAAAATTAAAGTCAGCCTTTGGCTTTCCTGAGAAGAAATTCTAAATAGCAGGTACCATAAAGTTACCTCTGATGAAATGCAGCCATTTTCAATAAAATGGGGGGAATTTGAAAAAAAAAATTCTATGTAGCAAAATAAATGAGAAGGATAAAAACAGATACTGGATATTCATATAGCCATTTGATGTGAAATACTTTCAAAAACTGCTTGGACATCAACAAACACCCTGAGGACTCTGAGGTTAAGAGGAAGAGGGAGAAGCAGGGCCACAAGGATGGTGGTGGAGGAAAAAGAGGAATGGAAATGGAGGTAAATGGCTGGGGCTCTGGTGAAGCATGAAGCTGGCTCTGAAACAAGGCCAAGATTAGAATAAGTTAAGGATAAGGTCTTAGAATCCTGAGAGTAGGATCGTAAAATGTCACAGTGGAAACAGCCATTCTTGACTTCCTCCATTCCCTGTTAACAGAGATATCCTGGCCCCTGGGTCAGTCCATTGCTGGGTGGCAGGGATGGTAAGAGTTTGTTCTTATGGAGCTGGAATCGACCTCCCCAATCTGTCCTTGTTCTGCCCTCTGCAAATCCCAGACTAATGGGAGAAGATTCACGATCCTCTGTTCTGTAGCAACAAGGCTGGCAAGGACAAGTACATGGCAAAGGCACAGACTGAAGACTGAGGGCAGGTGGCATATGCACAGATGCACAGGCACAGGGACCAAGGAAAGAAAAGTCACCTCTCACTATCAGCCTCAGAGAACCGCAAAGGGCGGGGGAGGAGGAGAGTTTCCCACAAATAAAAAATGACTAATTGCAAAAGTCTGCAAGCAACATGAAATTAAACACTTTATATAGCCTTGCATGAGCTCCATTGCCAGGCAGCTTTCTCTTATACTCATTTTTCAAGTGATGTCCTGATTAGCCAAGTTCAGTGAACAATCGATAATTAAGTACTCCTGGGCTGAGAAGTTGGAAAAGATTGAGATTTTGCTCGAGCTGGGTTCCGAGAAACTGCAGGTAAATGTGGACTTTGGCTAAGGAGACACTCCATGTCCTGACTCTCCCCCAGGGACCTTTTTCCCAAGTCACCATGAAGGCCCTGGCGACCATCAATCCCCAAGACCTAACTCTGGGAGAAGCCAGCTCCACCAAGTGCATACCACGTTTCTAGAATGACCAGTGTTGGAATCCCCTCTGGCCTCCTCGCAGCTTCTTGAATAGAAAATGTTCTGTGTGGATAATCCAGTGAACTGGCTACAACAGGCTAAACAACTCGTGCTCTCCATTTTCCCATTCATGGAGGGCAGATCCATAAAAAGGAGAGGCTGTGAAAGAGACAGATCTACCGAGAACAGCAAATTCCCCTTATGCCACTGGCTTTAGGAGTGAAATGAAAGGGAGGGGAAACACGTTTTCTCATCATGTCTCCTAAAGCAAAGCTGCTTTGTGGCGGGTGCGGGCCCATTGCCCTGTGAGAATATAATCTTGGAGAAAGCCAGCTCCACCAAGTGCACAACACAGGCACTGAAATAAATGAAACCCAAGATCAGATAATGAATTTTTTCCCCAGTAGAAAATAAAGGAGGTTGAAATATGGTAGGAAGAGAGGATTTTCTCACTTGTTCCTACTTACTCATCATTCTGTTTGAACTTAAAAGAAACGAAGCTTTTATTTGTTATTCAGACATCAACTTTTTTTTTTTTTAAAGAACTCTTTTTTTTTTTTTTAAAGATTTATTCATTTATTTATACAAGCACTGGGTACAGTCAGAAGCGCGGGAGGGTGAGAGAATTCACCAGAGCCAGAACGGAGAACAGAACAGGCAGACTGATGAAGTACACTGCTGAGGGGAGCAGTGGGCTGCAGCAGCGCCATGTGGGACCCTTGCCTGGTAGCTGGGGATCGAACTGGTGCTACAGAGGCTGCGGGCAGCTTCGCAACTCAGTGCTCAACCGCTGCGCCACCGGGGAGGCCCCACACATCAACTTTTTGTGAAAATAAAAGTCCAGAATTTTCCAAATTTAGATGTGGAAGTGAGAATACACCACCAGAAAAGTTATCTTTTATTAAAATAACAATAAATTCCCAATCCCACTCAGAAATTAGTGAAATTACTCAAATAGAAATTGGCATAACCTATTAGTCTATCCTGGTTTAACTCTTCACTATAAAACAAGTTAGCTCCGGGACACTGGTCCTATTCTAAGCCCTGGTTCAACATGTTGCTACTTTAGAGCACAGGGGATGCTTGAATTCATTCATTCATTTCCCAACAGAAGGGAAAATAAATTCTTCCAATCTAACTCAAAAGTCATATACAAAATTAAAATAAATGGAATCTATTTGTCAATTTTTGATGATACTGGCACAGCATAAATGTAGAAAGGTGGACACTTCAAAAAAAAATCTATGAGATGATGAGATGAGACTAGGCTAGCCTGTGTGGCCCACAAGAAACCGAGTCTAAACAATATGAACTAAGTATCAGTGAAGGCAGCTATCATTTTTTGAAATTTCACAATGGGAAGGGTAGTAAGAATATTCCTAGAAACCTAGATTCGATTTCAAAGAATAATGCATGCTTGGGCAGTCACAGATCCAGAGGAAAAAAGAAAGCCAGAGAGGGTCCAATCTTTCCTCTTCATAAGAGTCTGCAGGCATGTGAACGTCTGCACCTTGGCTTCATTTTCATTTGACTCATTTTCACAAGAAGGCTGAAGGTAATGGTCATGAGTAAGGAAAGGCTTGGCATATCCTCATGACAGGAACACCAGGGCTCTGCTCTCCCTTTTCACATCTATAAGAAGCAACAGCAGGAATGGAGCCCAAAATGCACCAAGTAAAGAAACTTCACCCACTGCTATTCATGCATGACCTTTCCAGAGGGACGATGCAGAGGAGAAAGGAGGGCACCTTCTTCCAAAGAAGGTGGATGGGACAAGTCTTCAGACAAGTATGAAAATGAGAAAACTGTAATTAACTGCCTTAAAGAAACAAGCCACCTTGTAGTCAAAAGCCAGCCAGCCCCAGGATACGACAGAAAAATGTATAATGAGGGTTACTTAGTGAGGGCCGTCAAGGTTTCTACAGACAGCTAAGTTATCAGAGCAGTGGAAGGATGGAAGGACTTGGTGCCGATGGGGAAATTCATGTGGCTATCAATCAGCTGTATGATTCCGCCATGACACCTACCCTCTCCCTTGTCCATACTGGTCCTTTAGTGAAGATACATTATGAAGATACATAGTGAAGACAAATGAGTACAAGTATAGCCTCATGTATTGAGCCGAGTATCTAATAAATACATTACACACACATATATATATCACATACTAAGCTAATATGTTCTACTCCCAATATTTACACATCTATTACAGACATATATGTAGATGCATATATTCATAAACATATGTACACACATTATTAGTCGCAAATAGAGCATAGTATGTAATTTTTAATTTTTTTTAAATTTTATTTTATTTATACATACAAGAACTGGGGTGTAGGCCAGAGGTGTGGGGGGTGAGAGGATTCACCAGAGAAAAAGTGGGGAGCAGAACAGGAGGATTGACTGAAATACACTGCTGAGGGGAGCAGCGGGAGAGTCAGGAGAGGTCTTCTGTGCCATCTGGGTACCTCCCTGGCTAGGGATCGAACTCATGCTGCAGTGGCTGCAGATAGCTTTATAGGCTGCATCTTAACCCCTTGTACCACAAGGGAGGCCCCAGTACATAATTTTTAAACACTGAAATACTGGAGCCTTTAATTCAAATGAAATCTCACAATGAAAACACCCTGTGTGCTTAGTCTCCCACAGGGAGTTATCCCAAAAGCACCTCCTTGGATTTTGTAGGAATCCACGCCACCAGAGTAAAATCATAAAACCACAGTAGGTGGTTAAGAACATACACTCAGTAATTAAATGCAAGCTCTTTAAAGGAACTGGAATTGAACCCCACTTTGTCACCGACCATCCCTCAGGCACAAGTTCCTGTGTAAGTAAATGGAGCATGAACAGCTCCCCCTGCACTGCTGTTGCTGACCAACCAGCACTGGGCACTCAGTTGGGGGGTAGGGTTGGGTAGTTGTTGTTCTGGGAGTTGTCAGAACATCCAACTCATTTGAGTCTGTGATTCTAAACTTGGCAAGTCCATGTTCAAACAGCAAGACTTTGGGAAAGTGGTGTTTCACTTTCCTTGTTTCAAGTTTTTGACAATAACAGCATTTGTCGGTTCTTTTGTTTGTAACTATAAAGCAAATATGAAAAGGAAACTCCTTAAATGTAATGGCCAGATGTGTTTATTGACGTTGAGAGGGGGGATTCACAATTCTGAGCAGAGGGGAATCTACCAAAGGGAGAGAGGCGGGAGGTGTGGGGAGGCAGCCACGGAGCTGTCCATAGAAATGCCAGATTATGTCACAAGCCATCATAAATTTGGCCTGGTAAATATTGGTCAAACTTGCTGAAAGTCTTTTTTTTTTTTTTAAAGATCTATTTATTTATACAAGCACGGGTACAGCGTGGGAGGGTGAGAGAATTCACCAGAGCCAGAGGGAAGAGCAGAGCAGGCAGACTGAGGAAACATACTGCTGAGGGGAGCAGCGAGCAGCAGAAGAGGTCTGGCCACCATGTGGGACCCTCACCCAGTGGCCGGGGATTGAACCAATGCTGCAGAGGCTGCAGGTAGCTTCGCAACTCAGCGCTCAACCGCTGCGCCACCGGGGAGGCCCAAACTTGCTGAAAATCTTCATTTGAGCATT